ATAAATTTAAATTTATCAGTTAACTCAATTTCAGACCATTTGAAATTCTAATATGTAACAGTTGCGATAAATCTATTATTTTTGAAATTAGAAATCAAGTGACATTGTTTTCAAACCATCGAGTAGTAAGATATTCATTTTACAGTATAACATGTCAAGGATATTACCTTTTTTGGAATTTTTGGCATATAATAATAAGGGAAATTTTTGTGTGAAGTTTTCATTAAAAGGTTCACTGGTTTATGTTTCCAATACAGTAGTTTCATTCCTAAGTTTCATAAGTATAGTTTAATTAATATTTAGTTCAGATAACATTCATAATTTGTAGAAATTTTAATTTATATCAAATGAATTTGGGAGTATTAAAACATAAGAATAATTTTCTATGATTTCCTCTTAACATTATTGATAAAGTCATTAGAAAATACCTGAATAGTTGAATTTTTTCGAATGTGAAGACGACGGTTTACAAAAGAAGTGTACATATTACTTCATCATATATAGCACAATCATTTAGTTAAGAAACAATACAAATGATTAAGTAACATGGTTTATCTACAAGTTCAATTACAACTTATTTTTAAAACCAGTGTGTAGGATTAAGGATTTATTTCGATTTAAAGATAAGATTTCATTATTACATAACTTTAAAGTAGTATATTTGTATGAGCATCCTAGATGTAATTCTAGGCTTAGAGGCTAGAATTACGGTGCATTCAAATCTGAGATCGTAATAAATATTAAGAATAAAACTACATTCTTTAAACATTCATTATTTATCGTCAGAACACAACCATTTGAAGATTACTAGAAGTTTTGTTTGTTTATTGAATTTCACGCAAAGCTACTCAAGAGCTATTTGTGGTAGCTGTCCCTAATTTTGAAGCGATAAATTAGAGCGAAGGCAGCTTTAACATCACCCACCGCCAACTTTTAGGTTACTCTTTACCAGCTAATAGTGAAATTGACTGTAACACTATAACGCCCTCATGACTGGTCAGGTTTGTGAGTGCACGGGTGCATTGTCACGGGATTCAAGCATGTGACTCGCAAATTGTGAGTCAAGCTATGCCAGGCCTATTATTAGAGCTAATGACATGAAACACCTTCGAATTAAAGAGAGTTTACTGATAAGTAGATTAAAACCGGTACTGAATGAAGTAAAGAGAGTTTACTTATAAGTAGGTTAAAACCGGTACTGAATGAAGCAAATAATTCAAGCTTATTTACGTAGATATTCAACTTGAATATTCATTTGGAATTCAGTTTAAAAGAGTGGTCATCGGGTGCCTAACTTCATAATGAACTAAGAGATTACTGGCATTAGTTAATAACAATGAACAAAAGGAGTACTGGCATTATTTCATAACACTGGTTTGCTTTGTCAATGCTTTAATATAAAAAAATTCAGAATATTCCCCAACTGTTTTCTGCATTGCATTAGTATCGATTTTAATTCTAAGGTGGAGTATTCTACTCTGCACGAGCTGAGTTTTGATTTTTCCTCCTTGTTCCATGAGCAATTACTCTTTGAACTACACCTTAACACATTACTGTCCAATATAAATTTCTTATACTAAGTAACCAGGTTTAAAAGTATTAACTACCTTAATGTTTGGAACTCGTACGCTGTTAAAAATAGTTTGTATACTTACACTAGCAGAGCCAAACACAGTGAAGAAGACTAGAGTGTTAATAATGATGAAATGTACTCCGTTAATGTTCTGTATGCTCTCTTGAACCGCCTTCTGTTTCCAGTAGATATAGGACAGTAGTATAGATTGTATCTGTCAAAATAAGACAGGACAGTAGTATAGACCATAAAGTTCACACAATTCATGGGAGTAAGAAACTATAGGAATGAAAATGGAGTACAGATCAAATCCAATCAAACTGAACTTTTAAAAACAGTAGGATGATAGTATTTTATTTCTGTAGTATATTTCATTGTGTTTAAATAGGTAAGGACAGTTTTACATCACGTATATATCCACGTGTTCAAATGTTAGTGCAAGAGGTAAAATAAGTAAATACAGAATGATAACTCATAGAGTATGGTCAACCTAGTAAATACAGGATGGTAACTGTTGGAATATGGACAAACTAGTAAATACAGGATGATAACTGCTAGAATATGGTCAAACTAGTAAATACAGGATGATAACTCTTGGAGTATGGTCAATCTAGTAAATACAAGATGATAACTGTTGGAATATGGTCAACCTAGTAAATACAGAATGATAACTGTTGTGTGGTCAACCTAGTAAATACAGGATGATAACTCTTAGAGTATGGTCAATCTAGTAAATACAGGATGATAACTGTTAGAATATGGACAAACTAGTAAATACAGGATGATAACTCTTAGAGTATGGTCAACCTAGTAAATACAGGATGGTAACTGTTGGAATATGGACAAACTAGTAAATACAGGATGATAACTGCTAGAATATGGTCAACCTAGTAAATACAGGATGATAACTCTTAGAGTATGGTCAACCTAGTAAATACAGGATGATAACTGTTGTGTGGTCAACCTAGTAAATACAGGATGATAACTCTTAGAGTATGGTCAACCTAGTAAATACAGGATGATAACTGTTAGAATATAGACAAACTAGTAAATACAGGATGATAACTGTTGTGTGGTCAATCTAGTAAATACAGGATGATAACTGTTGTGTGGTCAACCTAGTAAATACAGGATGATAACTCTTAGAGTATGGTCAACCTAGTAAATACAGGATGATAACTGTTAGAATATAGACAAACTAGTAAATACAGGATGATAACTGTTGTGTGGTCAACCTAGTAAATACAGAATGATAACTGTTGTGTGGTCAACCTAGTAAATACAGGATGATAACTCTTAGAGTATGGTCAACCTAGTAAATACAGGATGATAACTGTTGTATGGACAAACTAGTAAATACAGGATGATAAATGTTGTATGGTCAAACTAGTAAATACAGGATGATAACTGTTGTATGGTCAAACTAGTAAATGCAGGATGAACAGAGCTCTGTTTCGTGTTTTACTGACATCAATCTAGTAATGGTATATTTGTTTGTTTATTGTTAAGCTCACAACTGTGCAATGATCTAACTGTGTTGTTCCCAAAACGAGTATTAAAAATGTTTTTAGCGTTATAATCCCTCCTCCCCCGGAGGGACAGCGGCAAGTCTTCGGATTTATAACGCTAAAATCAGGGATTCGACGACTCTCCTCGGTAGATACAGCAGATAACCCGATGTGGCTTTGCTATAACAAAACATACACACGCGCGTTATACGCCCTCAGACGTACAGCCGAGGCCAAGAATAATTAAACAACGACCATTATTACACAGTGTCTATTCTACAACTTTCTGTAGTTTTCATGCCATTTATATTATCTTTATTGATATAAAATATGACCTTGTTTACGAGTGAAATCGAGGGCATGTAAACTTGGAATTTGTTACTGTTAATGCGATGTATATGTATACTTCCGCTTCACCCATATGTGAGGTTTCTAGAGCAAGTGAAATTCTTTAAGAGTTCAATCCTTTTTGAGAAACTTATTTTTTTATTTTTTTCTATGAGAACGTTCCTTGATTGGCTAATCCTATGCGATATAAAAGAAACTGCTATATTATATATATATACACACACATCAACGAACATTATGTTTTTCTTATATTTAACTCACCATCACTGTAAGCAGCATTGTTGGGATCAAGACGTCTTCTCTGTATGTTTCCAAAAATGATCGTATTCCCAAAATTTTTAGTTGAGTAAAGAATGGAGCTGGACGACTATAAAAGCAATATATATATATATATGTCGACATCTATACACGTACACAGGGAGGACCATAAGATATATTGAAACTAAAATAACACAATAAATAATTACTGATCATTAAACTGAATGACCACTCAATCTGACGTACATTATCAATCTTCAAAGTGTCCGCCATTGTTAACAACTATGTGTGACATAAAAGTCCTTAAACAAAACTAGTACATATGTGTGTGTGTGTGTATTTATTTATTGGTCCTATAACTTATCCAGTAAACAGTTTACTATGACAAAGCGTTGGAACATAACAATGATGTAGCAAACGAAAAAGTGACTAAACAGTGGGTTAGTTTAACTTGAGCTCACGAAGTAAGATTTAACCCTAATTCATTTAGTCGTTTTTAAGTATATGTATATGATTCTAAATATGCAGTACTATATTTTGGGGGTATATCGCTCCTTTGAAAACATCATCAGAAACAAATATTTAAAATATATCAAACACAATTTAAATTTCAGGTCAACTCTATATTAAACATAACTCAGAATAGATTTTCTGAGCATAATAAATTACTCATTAACGGAGAAATATCTATAGTAGACTTAGCTGATGATACACTTACTGAACATAATAAATTAGTCATTAACGGAGAAATATCTATAGTAGACTTAGCTGATGATACACTTACTGAACATAATAAATTAGTCATTAACGGAGAAATATCTATAGTAGAATAAACCCTCGATACGCTTATTAAGCATACTACATTACTCGTTAACACAGAAATATTTATATTAGACTTAACCCTCGATAGGCTTACTTTACATCCTACATTACTCGTTAACACAGAAATATTTATATTAGACTTAACCCTCGATAGGCTTACTTTACATCCTACATTATGCATGAACACATAAATATCTATATAATTTTCGAAATGTTAAACCGAGATCAAGTACTCTTCCCACAACTCTCACAATTTTCATACAGCTATATGTATGACTGTTGTTTTTACTTATATTTCTAAGTTTGATGTATTAAAAATAAATGTGTATGGAAAGTCAGGTTTCATTGAGTATTGCTATTGGTTTCGTTATTAAATAAAGTTCCATCATAAAATCATTAAACTTAAAAGTTTAATGTTTTCAGATTCTCTGTACAAATACAAAATATGATAATGCCTGAAATAAAACATATATCAACTCACTGATCGATATGTTTTGCGTACATTTGCGTGTCGAAGCTCTTTGGCTAGTGTTTGGGTCTTTAGAAGCTCGTGATAAGAATAAGATTAGGAAACAGATTGTTTAAAGTCACTACATCCCCTGTTACATCCTGTTTGATAATCTTAATTTTCTGAAATTTATGGATAAAAAATAGTGACTCCCAACTTGTATTTAACAATAAACAAAATATAGGATAAATACCCCTAGTCAGAAACTTTGTAGTCAGTGTTAAACATGTTAGTGTTTTTCCCATCTTAATTATTTAACTGTCATGAGCATACATATCGTTTTTAAGTTACTCTTGTAATTACAACTTCTAATGTTTCAATTTTTATCATTTGTCATTTCAAATCTTTTTATAGTGGAAAATTTAAAGAAAAGTTAGAAATAAACATATTATACAACAACAATTGGAGAAGGTTTGCTTATTATGCCATATTTAAGATGTTTTTTGCACAAAATATATTAATTATTCATCTTTCTTTGAAATATTCATGTTTTGTTTTGAGGATGTCGTTTCTAGAGAAATTATATTTAGTTTAATGCTTTTTCAATGGAAGGTCTGAAACAGAATGTTTCGTAAATGAATCTAGACTTTTCAATACTTAAGTTTTTATTTATTTATTTAATTTTCGAATTTTAATCTAAAATTTTCCAATGCTGTACTTTATATTTATATGCGAGTTGAAACCTATTTTTTACAGTTGCAGTTTTGAAAATATTTAAACTCTCAGTTGTCTTTAGTGAAAACAGAAGTATTGGGTGTAAGGTACATACATTAATTTCATTCACAAAACTACAATCTTGATGATTGATAACAAACTTTTCAGACTCAATAGTTTTCAAATACATTTTATAATGCAGAAAATACAGTTGAGTTTTATCTATAATTTTGTTAAAAATACAGCCATGAATACTAGACTAGAAATACATGCACAAACTTACAATGCGTTGGAAGAAATAATACAGCCACGAATACTAGACTAGAAATACATGCACAAACTTACAATGCGTTGGAGAAATAATACAGCCACGAATACTAGACTAGAAATACATGCACAAACTTACAATGCGTTGGAGAAATAATACAGCCACGAATACTAGACTAGAAATACATGCACAAACTTACAATGCGTTGGAGAAATAATACAGCCACGAATACTAGACTAGAAATACATGCACAAACTTACAATGCGTTGGAGAAATGATTGTTGACAATCTGAAAGATAGAGATAATTATCATATTTAATATTTTCTCGTTTATCATACGTCTAAAACAATATATATTATATTATATATCATTTTCGTGCATATTATGCGACTTCAGCATACTACGTGGTGATAATAAATAAGAGATATTTAGGAAGACGGGGGTTTCATATGATGGTTACGAGTAAGATGCGATTGTTTAATTTCAATGGTTGTGGCATGATTTTCTGGATAGATAACTGTAACATAGCTATAAACCTGTAACTGTGAGTTACTGAAACAATATTGAAGATGCTCTCCTCTATCACGCCAAACTCCACATTGTTTGTCCAGTTACGACTCTAATCAGGAGATTCCAATTCTTCCACACCCAACATTTGATCCGGACCTAGCACCCTCTCTTTCCTAACTTTTTTTTGGTCATCTCAAGAACAGTCTGCAAGAACAGATAGTCTTAAAGCAGCTGTAGGACTTATCGAACTGATGGGTAAGGATACAGTAAATATATCGTGCTTAACAGAAGTTATACTGATAAGCTATCCATATTCTCAGTACCAGTACTGTGAGTGAATTAGTTATATTCTGATATGTTTCATTCCGAGCATCTCTCGTACATCGCACCTTAGTGTAACAGCAGCGGTGGTTATCAGTATTATTAAATACATATTTAGTACATTATTTGAAAGTTCTTAATATTCCTTAATGTGAACCACACCCACGTTTGTATTTGAACCTACTGATGAGTTGTACATCGAACTCCTACACCTTAACGTGATTATTTGAACTCCTTGATGACTTGTAGATAAAGAGAGATTGTAGGGTTGTAGCGGGGTGTTCATTTTAGACTGTTAAAAACTGATTCCTTCAACTTATTCAGTAAATGTCAATGAACGTTGAACTCTTACAATCCAAATGGTTTATACATGAATGAACTGATATGATTCAGTAAACATCCTCGCCGAGCCACCTTTCTCTCTTTTTCTTTTTAACATTTTTAAGAACTTATATTAAAAATATTCAAGATTAGGACAGAAGCGAGCTCATAAACAAGGCAAAAATCATAGCAGCAGCTGTTTTCTATAAAGTAACAAATATATATATGTAGTAATTATTACTCAGATTGTTATTTCAATCATTCTTAATGTATCAGGCGTCCATATGCAATAAAAAACCAAAAACTATGCTTTTTCTGATTAAATGCAGATATGGCCTAAAGGTACTTTGCGGGTTTTACGGCATAACCAGGTTTCATTAACCCGGACCCCTTGCCAGTTGCCCCAGCCACCCCTGTTAGCGGGCCTGACTGAATAAAACTCGTCTGTCACAACACGTTTGTAATTCAACTCACTGAATGTAAATCAGCGTTGTACATCTCAACACGTTTATTCAGTAGCCGTTCACGAGAGTTAAACTTCTATACTCTGACGGGCCTTTCCTTTAGCCCATTCTATATCAGTAAAACTTCTATACTCTGACGGGCCTTTCCTTTAGCCCATTCTATATCAGTAAAACTTCTATACTCTGACGGGCCTTTCCTTTAGCCCATTCTATATCAGTAAAACTTATGTACTCTGACGGGCCTTTCCTTTAGCCCATTCTATATCAGTAAAACTTCTATACTCTGACGAGCCTTTCCTTTAGCCCATTCTATATCAATAAAGTGGGCTAAAGGAAAGGCCCGTCAGAGTACATAAGTTTTACTGATATAGAATGGGCTAAAGGAAAGGCCCGTCAGAGTACATAAGTTTTACTGATATAGAATGGGCTAAAGGAAAGGCCCGTCAGAGTACATAAGTTTTATATCAGTAAAACTTATGTACTCTAACACGTTTATCTAAAGTAACTGAAGAGTTGTATAATTATCTGGGAATAGTTGTTGATTTGAATCAAACTGATTTAATCCACCACGTTTTTGCGTGTATTGTTTGAACATTTGTGAGGACTAAAAAGATGTTCTATTGAGCTTTTGGAATACTTCTAATGAGAATCAAATGAGTGTATCTCAGTCATAAGTTTGTATATACAGAGAAAGAATCAAAGTTAGAAGTTAAATGAAATGTCTAGTCTTATTTTACTTTTAAAGCTGAAATTGAAACCTCTATTGATAATATGGAACAAATAGTGACAAAATTTATCTTACCTGTGTTCTATCCGTTCTACTATTACCCTGTTGTAATGTTTTACTTGTAATAGTATTTTCCCAAGCGTCACAAATCCTCTGTAAATAGTTATTATATATATATATGGAAATGGCGATAATATCTGTTTATGATCGTTTATGACAAAATTATATAATACTGCTTCACATTAAAATTTTCATACCTGATTTAGCTCCTTTAAAATAGATGTTTTATAGGCTGTGTTAATATCAAATACCAGTCTGAAATTATTTTTCCTTATTAAATAAACTTTAATTATATATTAATTTTCATAAATATTCGTGCATAAACTTTTAGTTTTTCAACTTAAAATATTTTGTACTTAAACAAATTTAATAATTGTCTGTTAAGTCAAACACGTTCTTATATTTGGTGTAAAATATTGTTGGCAAATATTTGCCAGTTGTTATTCCAAAACCATTAATGAGCAATGTTAAATTTATTTGAGAAAAAAAACCGGATAGAACATTAAGAATTAAGGCACATGACGTGGTATACTACGTTTAGTTTGAGAGTGTATGGATTTAGGGATATAAGACATTAATTCTTAGAATGTTCACGTTAACCTCAAGCTACCAACACCTCTCTATATCTTTACTGCATACCTTATACGAGTGTCTAAAGTAAATCCATGAAATTGGCCCCAAATGTTTCCTGTGGAATTGAGATCTGCAGAAAATGATGGCTAATCCATTCTTGTTCACGGTTGGCAATGACGATATATGAATTTAAGGAGGAATATTATCGTCAATCAAACTAAAATAAAGTCCAATGGCCTGAAAACAGGGTTTCTTATCTATAAGACACCGCATTTGGAACAAGTTCATAAAGGCGTGAGACCATTATCATTGGAACATGTTGCTTCCCAAATCTCTAGTTATCCATGTTCAATTATGCAGTCGACAAAATGCTCTGCAGAGTTAACGGTGACGGTGATAGATTTCAGGACAACACCTACAGGATTCTAAGCTAACTATACAGAATCTGGAGGATGATACGTTAACTATACAGAAGCTGGTGTGAAGACAGAACCTAGAGAATGCTACGTTACCTGCATATAAGATGTGAAAACAGAACCTTAGGATACTACGCTAACTGTATAGAAGCAAAAGAATAAAGTTTTTTTGTTGGCTATTTGAAAATGCACATGTGTATCTGTTATAATGATCATACTGACCTGTACATCATTAGGAATTACGCGAGAAATGAATGAATGCATTATGGGAACAAGATTTAGGCGATCACTGTTAGGCCTTTCACTGGTACCATTAAACCTACAGTGCTAAACCCCACTATGCACGTATGCTTGCTGGCTACCTAGTACCGAAAGCAGTGGTGTTGATGCGCATACCTTCAAACTCGGATGTGTGACATATCAGTGGGATCTTGTGTAGGTCCCTCGTTCACAGTTCGATGTGTTCTGTTCAGACCAAAACTAACATCAATGTGCAACCGGTTGGTTGAGTAAATGACAGGTTTTTCTTTGAGCTAAAACAAACGTTTTGTTTGGTGTGTATAAAACTGTAAATATATCAATCTTTATTTGGTTATAGAGAGTGAGAAGATTTGGAAAAGAATGTCTTCGGAGCTTACAAACACTGTCGCCAGGTTTAATGGTACCGGTGAAAGGCCTAACAATGATAGTTGTTATAGGGCTTGTTGAACGCCTCAAAGATGCCGGCTCAGAGAAGGGGGGGGGGGAAGTCGCCAGGTAAGTTGAGTTCAAAGAATGCCACCTGAGGGTTTATTGGTGTATTTTGGAGTTTTGATAACAAATGTTTCAGTATAAGTGATACTTGTTAAGTCTGTGATTTTACTTCTACATATTAATGGTAACATGTTGGACTATGATGAGACATGGGTTAACTATAAGAAAATATAAATGGAGACCTATATTAGTTGTTCAAACATATTTGTTAGAAACTGATATTCATGGGTTGTAATCTATCTTAAAAGACTAAGCTAGACATGTATAAGTCAATATTTTATAAACTAAGATATTTACATAAATAGTATATTAATTTATATTGAAATTTTATTAACAAATGTTTCAGTCTGTGTGATACTTGTTAAGCCTCAGATTTTATTTACATATATTAATATCTCATATATTAATATATTGAGCTATGAGTTCAATATAAGAAAATCGCAGAATATTGATTTGTAGCTGATGATTAATATATTCGATGGTCTTTCTATAAAGATAAGTGAAAGCATCACATGTTACTGTAACATTTTTTCTAAAATTATGTGAGGAAATATCGGTTTTGAAATAGTTGATAAATTAGTTTTTTGACCCTACTAACTGAAATATTACATATTTATTTGAGTTGAATCATTTATTCATATATTTTAAGTATGGCAGTACTTAATAGTGAGGATCGACAAGGTTTTGTTTTGATTTTTGCGCAAAGCTACACGAGGGCTATCTACACTAGCCATCCCTAATTTAGCAGTGAAAGACTAGAGAGAAGACAGCTAGTCATCACCACCCACCGCCAACTCTTAAGCTACTCTTTTACCTACGAATAGTGGGATTGACCGTCACATTATAACGCCCCCACGGCTGAAAGGGCGAGCATGTTTGGTGGGATGGTGATTCGAACCCTAACCACCTGGCCATGCCGGGCCTTTTTATGTAGTGACATGTCTTTAGTAAGATGTATTAAAATGTCTCGTGATAAATTCAGTGTTTGTTTTCACATAATGTTTCACAAATGAAAAATATAATCTCTAACTGACATAGTAATATGAACAAAATGTACAAAAGTTAATCCAATATTTTATAAGCTAAGATATTTATAGTATACTAGTTATCATGAAGTTTTGTTGATAAATATTTCAGTATGCTTGTCATGTCTGTGATTTTACATTGTTGTTGTAATGATAAACAGTAAATATGTTGGATTTATAAAACAGGAAAGAATAATCACTTGATTTATAATTAAAGGTCCTTTTAAGATTATGATTATCAACTCTTTTTCAGTTATAAAGTACATTCATTTGTGAAAAATGATGCTTTGGTGAACTATCAAGATTAAATGTTAAAGTGTAATAGAATTTCTGATTTGTCAACAAGTATTGAATATACAGTTATCCCTTGTCATTCACAGTTTTACAATGTAAGTTTTCCTCCACCTGCTTCCACTGCCACTATTACCTCGCCTGCCAGCCCTGCCTCCTCATCTGCAAGCTGTCCAGATGACCCCCAGGGGAATATTAATTTACTATACCAAAAACATCATTATCATTACCTTCATTGTCGTCATCAATTTTATCATTTTCAACGTCACCATCACACCATCGCTGTCTTCTACATCATCATTATTAAAGGCAAGTTAAGTAAAAGGATTTTAGTTTAAGATACATTTATTTCACATTACTATTATATATTTCTCTACTTGTTGTTTTAGTGTATATTACTGTATATTGTTTTTCTTTATAAAATGTGGTTACTGTAAGTACTGTATTTTCGTATGTTGGAAACCTATATGTATCCTCTTTTACTAATGGTATTCGCGGTTTTAGCATTCGCGGCAATTTCTAGAACCTACCCCCCCCCCCTCGAATGGCAAGGAATAACTGTATACGTTTGAATCATTAAAAAGTGACTTATCATTACAAACTAGAAATAATATATTTCACCCAAAAGGTGTATGTCCGTGTGCTATAAAATTTTCTAATTACAGACTTTTCAATGCTATTAACCTTTTATACTGCCAATAAGAGGGGACTGGTTGTTTAACCAGGTGACGACTTCTCCCGCCAATGACCTATTGTATTTCCTAACCTCAAAGTTTATCGAGCCTTTCAGTGATCTTGAAGTTCAAAAACTTAAATATGTGATTGAAGTTGTAGTCTTAGGCGTATTTTCCCACTTCAACATGCCATCAGCTAGGATGTGTCAACAATAAGATTGAAAGAGTAACCTGTGTGTATTGAACTTCGTTTTTCGATATGGTAAGAATATTTATTATCCATCCTATATGCATAAAGTTCCAAACCAGCAAGAAACAAGCTCTAAATGAAGACTTATGAAAATATCCATAGAAAGGTAAGTATAGAAATGGTTACACATAATTATTTATGCAGATCTTTTAAACTTTAACAGAACAAATCAACTTATAAAGCTTAACATGAAATTATTGTATATTAGTTAGATATCTAAATAAGCATCCTTTTCAGGGCGAATAGCTGTTATACAATATATCAATTATAGAAATGAATTAGCAATAAGTGTTTTACATATAAAATGTCAAGAAATGTAAAAAAATACGTCATGCAAATTAAATACAGAAATGAAACTATAATCAATACGTTAAATGTGTAATAAATCGATACTTAAAAACACAATTGACTATACTAACTGTCTTGTTCAATATTTATAAAAATAAAATATTAGGTATAATAAAATCCTTTCATGACAGATAATTGTAAAAGTATGTAAAGTAAATTATTGGCTATGTAAAACACACAATATACCTAGTCTGCCTATAAAACTTTAGTAAGACCATTCACCTAGTAATACATCTATCTATAGAAACTTGGTAACACCATCCACCTATAGAATAATGGTAACACCATCCACCTATAGTAACAGGTCCTCTGGTATCGAACTATAATTACACTCCTCCCTAAGACAGTTGCGCCCTCTGGTGCCACGTTGTGGAACTATGGCTTTATCGTGTTTATCACCCCTCTGGTGCCTATTACATAACAGTTATCTAACCCTCAGGCAGCAACATCATTTGTATATTACATAACAATTATGCAACCCTCAGGTGCCATCCTTTGATTTCCTCTCACCTGGCGACCCTCAATTGCGACGGCATCGTATAGGCACTCAACAGGCCCGATAATTAATAATGACTGCCAATAAATTTCACATTTATTAATAGTTTTCATGATAAACTTTGCTACCTGAAAAAACACTTCTACTAATAATTTATTAATTTCTAACGACCCAGTATGTAATCACAATGCATTAGGAACATTTTTTGTATAGTGATCATATAAGGCATAGAAAAACATACCTTTATACTTTCTCGTTGCTCTATATCTTGCTCAGGAGGTATCCCAAGAACTTTGATGAAGTAGTCTGCAGGGTTGTAGTTTGCAGGGCAAAACATATCTAACCTTTGGATATGAAAAATATTCTCGAGCATTAAATATGAAAATAATATTTCTAAAGCTCAAGGTAATTGGAAAGTACGTAGCATCATTAACAAGCACTAGTAATAAAAGATTTGGAGTACTGAAGTTATGTAACGTGGTTAAAAAGCACTAGTAACACAAAATTTGGAGTACTGAAGATATGTAACATGGTTAATAAGCACTAGTAATACAAGATTTGGAGTACTGAAGATATGTAACATGGTTAATAAGCACTAGTAATACAAGATTTGGTGTACTGAAGATATGTAACATGGTTAATAAGCACTAGTAATACAAGATTTGGAGTACTGAAGATATGTAACATGGTTAATAAGCACTAGTAACACAAAATTTGGAGTACTGAAGATATGTAACATGGTTAATAAGCACTAGTAATACAAGATTTGGAGTACAGAGGATATACAACTCTTTAACAAATACGATGGGTAAAATATTAAGATTGAGTAGGTAAGTGTATCTCATTTACTCTAAACCCATTTAACAAAATGTCTTATCAAGGAACGTCATTTCAGTACTCTATCACCCAATCTTGAAAGACCCCCCCCCCCCATCTCCCCAAGTAAATGGAGCTATTAGACTAACAATATTGCATAAATACAAGTGTTCATTTAACACTATCATCCTTTATGTAATACTATATCTATCTAAGCTGCAGCCATTCCTCGTTGGATGTAGCTCTCCGTCAGACCAGTCCAATATTTCCTTATTCTTAGCATACTGTTCCATCTGATTCCTGCTTCAGCCACTATATCATCCCTCCATCTTTTCTTTTGCCTTCCCTTAGATCTTTTCTCTGTCCTAGGTTGCCATTTCATTGTTCTTAATGTCCACCTATTATCAGAATACCTTGCTACATGCCCAGCCCATTTCTATTTAGTTCTTAGAATGAACCTTACTGCATTTATTATATTTGTTGTCTTACTTATTATGTCATTTCTCCATTTGTCTTGTAGTGTTATATAAATATTTTTTTCCATAGCTCTTTGTGTGGTTTCTATCTTTTGTTAGTTCTCTTGTTTGGCAGCCATATATTAAGTTTGGTAGTACACAAAGTAATGAGGATATCTTGATCCTATAGAATTTCTTTATACATTCCAAAACATCGCCATGTTGCCTTTATTTTTACTATAATTTCTTCCCTTGTTGTGTTTTTCATTTTGAGGGTTTGTCCTAAATATTTGTACTCTGACACTTTCTCTATTTCTTCATTCTCAATTTTGATGGCATCTGTGTCATGATAGTTGGTCATATATTTGGTTTTTCCCTTATGTATTTTTAATCCTGCTTTCTTGCTACTGGGATTCAAGCTGTTTAATAAGGCTTCCACCTTTTTCGTTGAATTTGTAAAGAGAGTTACATCATCTGCAAACCTTAGATCTGTTAATTCTCACCATCTATTTTTATACCTTCATTCTCTAGTTTAGTTTGTCTGAATATTTTATGGAAAGTTGTTGTAAACAGTTTCGGAGATATTGGATCACCCTGTCTCCCGCCTCTCTATCTTTATCACTGATGATGCCTCTTTATCAAGATGTATTTTTGCTGTTTCTTCTGTGTATATATCTCTTAAGATTTCGATGTACGTTAGATTGACGTTTATTGTGGCTAAAGCATTTAATATTGCGCTGTGTTCTACATAGTCAAATGCTTTTTCATAATCTATAAATCCAACACATAAAGGAAAGTTGTATTTATTTGATTAGTTGCATGTGATTGATCTGTTGTTGAGAAATGTTTCCTACAGCCTGCTTGTTCTCTTGATTGGTGTTCGTCCAAAATTCTTTCCAATCAGATATATATATATAATTTACCAAACCAAAGTGCATATGAGTTCTTTTCCAATATTGGGTGTTTATCTGAATAACCCAGCTTCCTCCTCCACCACTCACGTAGTATTAAGATAAGTACAAATCCTGGGATGAGTGTTTCAGATCACCCATCACAATAAACGGTTTCAATAAGCGATTTGGTTAAGGCACTAATCCACAGTGAATATGAGTGTTTCAGGGTTTCTACCCCGATCAACATTTTTTAACAAGTTTTATTAGTGAAGCGATTATGCCATCTCATTGTGAGAGACTGGTTTAGTAAATAGCTGGAGATGAACCTTAAACCCGATTACTCACGAGAAACCTTAGTAAAACGAAAACTGGGTAAGAAGGTATTAACTGAAAGAAATTTTGTCCTCTCATTGTTTGATATTAATTTCTAATCAAAATAAGCTCCAAACACAGATAAGAGCTAAAATTAATCCACTAATAAGAATAGTTAATCTAAAATACTCTTCTCACTTATTATAAGAATGCATTGCTTAAGTTTCTTTGTTTTGCTATTAATCATAAAGCTACACAATGGGCTACCTGTGTGTGCTAACCAAGGGTATCAAAACCTGGTATTTGGCATTATAAGCCTTAAGACTTACCGCTGAGCCAATGGGAAGCATTGTTTATGGATAACTCAATAGAAACAATAACATGTTTCACCTTGAAGTCCTGTCCATAGCTTACTATGTTATATGAATGCTGAAGATCTATTCATTCATTTATTATGTGCTAGCTTAGTAGAAACAACGTTAGGCAAACACTGATGATATTTAATATAAGAATGCACCAGGATAAAATGATATTTGAGGTCTAAGGATCCATCTACTCGTTATGTGTTATCAGATTACTTAGGGCTGTTGAGCATGCAAGTCTATCTAAACAGCATCTTAATAGGCCACCTCTCTAGGGAGAATACTATTTCAACAACAGTTAAATACTAAAAAACTATTTCAATCTGATCTTCATATATCAGATACGGTTTCACATGTTCCAAAGTTACGTGTAGTTCTGTTTTTTCTCTGTTACCAATATCGAATACATTTGAGCCTTAGGTTATGATTTACCAGTATGAAAAGTTACATACGAGTTGAAAAAGTCCATGACTTGATTAGTATGGCCCATGTAGGCCACTCGTCCATCTGCTAAAAGAAGGATGTCACTAAACATGGCATACACCTCAGAAGAAGGTTGATGGATAGTACATATTATTGTTCTGCCAGCCGCTGCCATCCCTTGCAGGACGCTGATAACATTCTGAGCCATGAAGGAATCGAGTCCAGAAGTGGGTTCATCACACAGTAACAGGGAAGGGTCCATTAACATCTAACATGCAGCAAATAAAATTTATTACTAACAATCTATAATTTGTATTTTTCCATAATTTTATAAAACTGTTTTGAAATGATAAAAAGAAAGTTTGTCATCAAAGAACAATTTCCTGCTATTCATGTTTATCATCTTCAGTGCTGGTGGAGCTAGATCAAAGAAACTAACACATGTTTCAGAAAGATATAAAAATACAATTATTGTTAGATAATCTCTGACATTTTCTCTATCGAGGTTGATAATGATAGCTCTTTAAAAAAATATTTTATTAGTAAGGTATTATAACAAAGCGACCCACATGCCAAATGATGATCACTGATGATTAGTCCATTTTATGCAAGCAGATTACATACTACAGCTGCAATCATTCAAAGCTTTTGAAAGTTTACAGTAAGTTATGAAGTCTAAAACAGCTAAACATACATGTTTAATTATACAAGTTTTAAAAATTATGAATTTTAAAATGAAATAAGGATCCTGCTATAAAAGGTAATGAAACAAGAATTAAAACCACAATTACAAATTTATAAAATTTAATCCTTACTTTAGCCTACAGATAAGGGTATAAAGTTGCCATATATATATATATATATATACATATATACGGATTTTTATAGGAATATCAAAAGCGGTTACCACAGACTAGACAAGTAGGTTTTTCCTGTAGCAAGCAATAGTCTGAGCTGTCTAGGCGCTGGCCCCGCTGACCTGATCAGGTAGGTAAGTAGTAGACGAGAAAATTGCTGTTTTAGAAATTTTTTATTTGTTATGCCAGAAATGTGCGTAATATATCGTAAACAATACTTTGAATGGTCGTTTTTTCGTTTAGGAATTCTATAGGGTGGTTTTTTGGCGCGTGAATTATTTGGAATCCTTGTCGATCCCTACAGTTAAGTACTACCGTACTTAAAATAGGAAGTTGGCAGTGACATCCTGCAGCTATTTTATATATATTTTGGTGGGGGTGGCACAGTCAGAAAACAACGTACTTTTCTTATCAGTAGTGGGCTAATAATAATAACCTGTATAACAGGATAAATTGTAGAATTGTTTCATCTGCGAGATTCGATAACTATTATCCTGTATTATTATGTAATGTGTGATATTAAATGAACTCCGACATTACATACCATGTGAAATTAGCTAAAATCAGCAATAGAAAATTTTGTAAGATTAGCTAATTTGTGAAAATAGACGACCTATGTAATTCTATTACGTTAAATAAGTTAGTGTGTTAAATTATAGTAGTCCCCTAAATGAAATAACATTTGAAATTGTATAACCTTTTGGGTAAAATCAGTTTTAGGGCTGTTTAAAGAGTGTGATCGTATACGGACTTTTACTGCCATTCAGAGAACATCCGTGTGGTGAAACATCACGTTTGTAAGGAATATGGCTTGAAAATAAACCTTTATTAGCAGAGCTTAGGACTTAAATTTCTTCGCGTTATTACTTCTTTTAATAATTAGGTATTCCAACTTCCAGTGGCGTCATGCCTATAAGTCACAGGTAGGCACGGTTCCCCTAAGTACTTTCTATATACTGTTTTAATAATCCTAAACCCATGTATAAACATTTGACAAAATATGTGTCTGTATTGGAAACCAATAAGCTAATCAAAATAACAATGGAAATCTAATAACGCGAAAAGTAAAAGGTACCTCATTTATTATTGTTTGTGGCCCGACATGGCCAGATGGTTAGGGCGCTTGACTCACAATCTGAGGGTCGCAGGTTCGAATCCCCGTCAAACCAAATATACTCGCCCTTTTAGACGTGGGGGCGTTATAATGTGACGGTCATTCCCACTATTCGTTGGTAAAAGAGTAGCCCAAGAGTTGGCGGTGGGTGGTGATGACTAGCTGCCTTCCCTCTAGTCTTACACTGCTAAATTAGGGACGGCTAGCGCAGATAGCCCTCGTGTTGCTTTGCGCGAAATTCAAAAACAAACAAACAAACCAACTGACAGGTATTACAGCTGCGCCATTCAGTTGACGCGAGTCTAGAACTTGGACTCGGTTCAGGAAGCAATAATAAAATTAAATGAAAATAGTTGCAAAAAGGATACAGGTCTGAACATTTTATGTTAAAAAGGTATAATCATCTTTTACAACCTACAGTCATTCTAGAAAGAAGAAAGGGTAATTTAGATTTATTTCGTATTTTTTGTGGTTGGTACAAGGTCAGTCCAATGGATCGTGTCCGTAAAGTGTTAGAGTAGAGAAAATAACATATAAACTATAAAATTTTGCTGGAAAAACTTTTGACATTCATTTAAGAAGTTTCCAAAGTAAAGCAAATGAAATGTGAAAAGTGCAAAATGAAATAAAAGTATTTTCAAACTTAACAAGAAAATCACCTTACACTTAGACAAATCAGAGTCAGACTCTGACCCCATAAATTCACAGACCTTTTTAATGAAAATATTTATTTTAAGAATTTTTTTTTGTACAAAAGATTTTTAATGGTTACTAAAAGCAAGTAAAATATCATGGTGATAAGGGAACTATATTAAAAGTTATAGTATGTATACTTTCATGGTTACATATTGAAAGGTTGGTCAAAATGAACAAGCAGTATACAGGTTAATAAATATATGGCAAGACCTTCACCCTAAAGTGATCGACAGCTAACATATTGTTACGTCTCCGTTCGTTAGTTAATTTTCCGTAAATTCTTTCCGACTAAACTTTAGCGACACAAATCCTTTCTTAAATAAAACTGGGTTATTATTTCCGAAT